CCAATGTCTCCCCTAGCTCATGTGGGTGGTCAATGCATGAGGCTTCGCACTCCAAATCCTATCCTTTTGTTTTACTTTAATGGTTGCATAAATTGAATCTGAGAACCCAGGGCTATACATGCCATATGCAGCCAGCCCCCTGACCCAACTCCTGACCCAGCAAATGACCTTCCAGCAAATGAATGGAAGAAGTTAACACTTAGGAACATTTAAATGACTCCTCCTACCCCAAACCATGACATCAAAAAATTGTGACGATAGTGTAGCTTGATCCCGTCCCCAACATTAGTGATGAAGAGTCTATTGGTTCTATTGGCTGGGGCTGCAGGAAGCTAGAGAACCCACATCATCTACACCTACACACAGTGTCATGACTTCAAAGGCTGCTCTCTTTACCAAATTATCTGCACTATTCTTCTGTCTTTATCATCATGACTCCATTAAAAGTTTATTTCAGGATTGGGGATATAGCTCATTTGATAAGAATGGTTATCAAACATGCAGAAAGTCTTGAGTTTAATTATCAGCAGTGACTAAAATCAGGTGTGCCTGTAATGCCACTATTCTGGAAGTAGATGCAGGGGGATTAAAAAGTTCAAAGTTCCCAGTGGTAATGGCACAGAAACCTCTGTCTACAACACGCCTTTAATTTCAGCACTTGGGAGGTAGAGGTAGGTGGACCTCAATGAGTTCAAGGCCAGCCTGATCTACAGAGTGAGTTTCAGGACAGCCAGGACCTTGTCTTAACCAAATATAAACAAACAAACAAATAAAAACAAGTTCAGGGTTAGGGCCGCCTGCACGATGGCTTAGTGGGTAGAGCGCTTACTGCTGTTTGTCCCTGGAAACCATGCAGTGAGTGCGCAGGTTGAGAATCACAGCTTTAGGGCAAGTTACTGTTCCCTAGATTTCTCATGGCTTTTAAGATGCTGAAGTGCACTGTGAGTCTCCAAAGGGCACTAGTGCAATAGAGTGCATCAAAATTAGCTACCTGAGAAACATTTTTTATTAGGGAAATGCTAGGCTTCACTGGTAAGTTGGTGTCACCATTATGCACACCACGGCATGACATCATCTGTCACAATGTGACTCCATGGGATGTGTTCCATGTTGCACACATGCTTTTCTAGAGCAGCATTCCTGTATGCAGAAACAGACTGGGAGTGTGGAGTGCAGCTACATCTGTGCAGGAACATACTCAGCCTCCTCCACTTCCCACTGCTGTCATTGAAACATCTTGCTTAGCACTGAGTTTATCTGCTTGATTAGGAACACGCCAGGGCAGAGACTAGCCACTTACTCTGTGTTCAGCAATTTGGACAGTGGCTTATTGTCATTGGTGGTGGTGGTAGTGGTGAATTTTTTTTTTCTGTTTTAAGTAATAGTCTAAATTATATAAAGAAACTTTAAGATAGCATTCTCATGCCTGGTTAGCATCCCCCAGTTAATCATACAGTTTTTGACTCTCATTTATTATGCATCATTATTGAAAATGTGTGCACACTGTATACAGCAATCATACTTGTTTTGTGGCCAACAGCTTCTGAAATTATTGACGTGATGAACCAGCTTGAGATGGCAAAGATGGGAAGGAGAGAACAGCATACATGGGGACTGGGTGCAACAGTTGCAGGCTCAGGTATGACACGTGTGGCTGCTTATAGCTGTCCATCGATTAAGTCCAGCTCACAAGCGTCAGGGTATAATAAATGACGCCATCCTGGATATCTAATAAGTTCTTCTTGAGCCAGACTTATACTAGTATTATTTATGTCTTCCCAGTAGTTTAAGTAGTGAAAATTTTATCTTATCTAAATTAAAGCAGAAAGATAAAAATAACTAATTTGTAGTCAACATTTAAAAATCAGTATCTTAACATTGGGGGAAATGGTCATAAGAGAATAATATTGGGTACTAATACAGAGTAACCTGGAAACTTGTCCCAGGAACTGTGATGAAACAGTTGCAGAGATCAATGTGATTAGGCTAAGGGATGCTCACATATTTGGTAAAATATTTCGGAATCCGTGACGATATTTCTAGAAGATATTATCATTTGAAATGCTAGATGGCAAGCCTTCACCTCATCACAAGTGTGGGTTAGGACTAGCCAGTCCACTGGGAGCTAAAACAGAATGAAAATGAGAAGGATAATCTGAGTCTTTCTGTTTGGGCTGGGAGACCCACCCTCCTTTGTTTCTGGCTACTGGTGCTTCCGCCTCCTGCCCGTGGGACTCCAAATGGAACAGATACTTTCCATCTCCCTAGCTCGTGGGGCTCAGACTGAAACCACCCTACCAGGCCTCCAACTTGCAGACAGAGACGGGAGGATTTCTCAGCCTGCACAATAGCGTGAACTGATCTTTCAAAGTAATTTTCTACCTTTGCCCCTTTTTATATGCTTTGAATCTGTTTCTTGAAGAACAGATTCAAAGAGAATTAGAAATTCAGTATTTGTGACTTCTGGAACTTCTGGGAACAGAGCTAGGCTAAGGACAAGTTGTCAAATGAATTTTCCAAATTCCCTACATACAACTTTTTTTTTTTTTTTTTTTAAAAAGGCCAGCAATAAGCTGCCTGCAAAGGAATAACTGGAACTAAGTGTGAGAAGAGTGTGAGCAGTCCAGAGTGCCACAGTATAAAGGGTTCTGAGAGGACAGTGAGTACCAGGATGAAAGCTTCTGCAAGTCCCATTCCTCCAAACACATGCCCAGGATGCTGGGGGGCAAATCCATCGTACGTACCCTGTTCTTTTGGGAAAGTGAGGAGGCCCCTACGAAATATTCCTCTACCTAAAATTTTTCATTCAGTCTGAGCATAGAATAATACCTTTATTCTTAAATCTAATTTTTCTCTGTGATTTCTAATTCTGTTTTCACCCTTAAGTTTCTTTTTTTTTTTTTTATTTCTCTTAAGATTTTTTTTTTTTTCCACAGACATGCCAAGTTTCCCTGTCCTCTGAGGTTGTATTGCTAGCTTGAGTTGGAGGGTCTTAATACTCACTAATTTTATTATTTTTTTTTTAAATTTTATTCATACACTACATTTTGATAATATTCTTTCCCTTTCCTCCCATCCTCTTAGGTAACATACATTAATTTAAAAAAAGAATTCAACACATGAAAGAAAAGGAGATCGACAGGCGGGCAGGCAGGCTGTATTCTGGTGAGGTATGAAGGAAGAAGTCCTCCAATCCACCCAAGTCAGCGAAGGCTGAGTTTCAAAGTCACATGCATGACTTAAAAAAAAAAAAAGTAGAAATAAATCAGAAAAACATGGCAAGGGGTTATTTCCTTTGGCTTCCCTTCCACTGAGGTGATGGGTTAAGATGCCTGAGGACGAATACTTTAATATCCCAGCCCTGAGTCCTCTGCTTTGCCCACCAGAGACGTGCATGACAAACGAGATGGCCCTAACTCATCGTGTGCTACGGAGCTGCAACTCTCTGCCATTTACCCCAGTGAGGAGTTATCGATTCTTCCCCAGCCTTGTGATTTCTTTGCCGAAACCCTCCACATAGCTGCCTTTGTATGAGACCAGGTTAGCTTGCTAGTGGATGAAAGAATGCAGCTGAGTTTCTGCAGTCTTCCCGTGTTGGCCTGACCACACATCCCCTGAGCGGAACCAGTATTTGCTAGTGACATTTGATGCCTGCCAGTTTACCCACATCATGGGACAATGGCTATCACAGGTAATGAATACACGGAGAGTGTGAACTCGGCCCTGGCAGCAAGGCCATTCAGCTAACAGGAGTTTGGGTTTAATCAAGTCAATCAGGTTTTGCATTCAGCACGCAGATGTCAGTAGTGGGGACGGTATTATGTGTATCTTCACTAAGTTTTACACTAATGACATGGGAACAGTATCTGAAGAGCCACTCTGCTCAAAGAGTAAACAGATCCCAAGAGCAACTGTGTCATTTAAATTATAGTGAGAATTTCAAGGGCACATAATAAGGTGAAGGCTAAATACAGAAACAAAGCTTGGCTCGTTGTCACTTCCCTTTTCAGTGACCAATCAGTGGCGGGAAACCAGTGGTTTCCTTAGAAATTATTAACGCGAGTGACACTTCATGGATAAGATGTTTAAAACGTTGGTGCATTGGATTGCTCCTGTTCTCTTTTTAAATCATACATTATAGGGGAACTTTTCTAATTCTTGCAGAGTTGTTAAGTAAAACAATTCTCGATATCCTTTCGTACTGGAGAGCTCCAGAAGCAATTTATATCTGATACCAGACTAGTTAAAACCAACAGTAGCGATAAATAGATGATTTTAAAATCTCTGGAAGGTTGAATGAGAATAGCCCCCATAGGGTCGTATCTTGAGTGTTTGCTTCTCAGTTGGTAGAAGAGTTTGGGAAGGATTTGAAGGTGTGTCACTGGGGACTGACTTAGAGATTTCAAAAGCCCATGCCATTCCAGCTCGCTCGCTCTCTCTCTCTCTCTCTCTCTCTCTCTCTCTCTCTCTCTCTCTCTCCTGCCCATCAGATATAAACTTTCAGTTTCTTCTCTACTACACGCCTGGCTGCCAGCTGACGTACTCTCCACCGTGACAATCATGGATTTTGACCCTCTAGAACCATGGATCCCTGAATTACGTGCTTTCTGTTAATGCCTTGGTTAATGGTGTTGCTTTACAGCAATAGAAAACAAACTGAGGCAAAGTCTCGTGATAAAAGTGGATTTGAAAGAGTAACCAACGAAACACTAGTAGCACCAAGTTATAAAAATGAAGGCCCAATAGGCTTCATGGATATACGTGTAACATTCATTTTCCCTAGCAACAAGGTTTCCATTTGCACAGGAAACTGAGAAATAGGTAAATATTTGTATGTGCAAGAAGAGGTGGGGGAGGGAGAAAGAGTGAAATGTGACCGGGTTAGTGTATATGAGAGAGTTTCAGAAAACGTGGATTTATCGGCCTCTCTACAGTTTGCTTTCCTCATATACATTCAGAGATCAGATGACATCAACAAACACAGCCAAACAGCAAAGCCATTTTGTGTTAAAATTACTTTTATTCAGGATGAAAAATACAATATGTAACCAGATTAGATGACAGTCTGTGATTAGTTCTTTACCACATACTTCAAAAGAACAATACACTTTATTTCTCACTGTGGTTACTGAGATATAGTTCCTCTTAATATTCAGAAGGTTACAATGTAGTGTTTTGTGTAGCTTTTTCTGTAATAGCAGATAGAGTTTATTTTGCATACAAATACAGGCAGGAGGAAAAAAAAAAGAATACATGACTTCTCAAAGGAAGAACAAGGAAGACACCAAATCTACAACCTGGGGATCTGAGATCAGGGAGTTGTTTGCTGGGGTTGTTTAGGTGCTTTCTTGGGTATGAAATGGCCTGATGAAAGCCTAGGCTTTGCACACTGTGGCGTATAAAGCTATGTCCAACACAATGGAGGAAGGTGGTTCTGAGGTAGAAAGGTGATCATGGCTCTCCTCTATTATAAAACAATTTTCTTCTTCTCAAAATAGCTATGCTGCAAATAGACACCCTTTGCCCCCAACCCACCCAACCAACCCTAAAAGAATAGCAATGTCCAACTTTCAGCCTCCTGCTAGCCAGCAAAAGAGAACCCAAAGTTAGCATGTCCCGATGTTTCAAAAGCACATATGTTTGAATCAAAACATATTTCCTTTGATTTTATTTTTGGTATTCTCTACAGTTGGTAATTAAATGCTAAATTAAAAAAAGAGAAAAAAAAAACAACCAAATATCTAGCTGAATGCACTCAGAAGTCGAGGCAGGGGACCAATCATCTAAGCATTAATTTCATTCTGGAAAAGCAATATAGGCTTGTGATTGACATTCTTCCCAGATGTGCTGCTGGTCACGTGACGGGTCATGAGACATCTGTCCATTTGTCCCGAAGGTTCCCATGAGACAGGCACTAAGTATGCTTTCATAAAGGAAACCACTAGGGCTTTCAAAACTTACCAAGGACTTGAAAATACAAAAGCAATGATAAAAGTCTATTTGAGAACTAAAGACCATGATGTGATCTCATCTCACAGTGGGAAAAGTCTGTGGTGTACCTTACGATGGAAACCAAGGCTGAAGGTACTAGGAGATGCTGTTCTAACTTTTGTTTCTGAGTCAAAATGAAAATATGCTTAAATGGCAACCTTTGGTAAAATGATTTTTGAGACTATTAGAATGCAGTCTTCTTTAGCATAAAGATTGCACGATGAAATAAATAAAGATGTCAAGATCTACTTACAAGAAAGGAATAAAAAGCAGGAGGTAAAATACCCAGCAGTGTTGCCAATTAGTTCACAGGATGTTTACTGGAGTCATCCAATGGTTACTGAAGGGCTAAGTGGATGATGTCAACTAAGGTTAAATAACATCCAGAATTGCTGCTTACTTCACATATTTGATTCAAATATATGAACTTAAGAATTTGGCCAAACCCTAGAAACAAATACACAAAGTCTATTTGGTCATGGCTGATGAATTATAAATAACCGAACTATAACGGGAAAATAGTCATATAATAAATGAAGTTATTGTACAAGGTTAATTAACATGAACAGCAGAAGGAATGTAATAATGTAGAGTGGTCTAATTCTTATGCATTTTTCTCTTATTAAAAAGGCAGTTTCATATTAGAAAGCCCCCACCCACTTTCCCACGGCTGTATATACTATACAAATCAGTGACAAATGCATTACCACCTCCAAATAACTTCCGTGTTCATTAATTTACAGTTGCATAGAAAGGGGAGAAGAAAACAATACTATACGTTATTACAGAAACAAAATACCCTTTTCTCTTTGGATAGTCGGTGTTTTATTCCCTCAGTAGAACACACAGTCAACGCCAACTGCACGTGTCGCGGAGCCAGGGAGCTTCAGGTCGAATGGGACTTGGAATTGGCATTTGCGGAAGAGGGCAATACTGAAGGTCAGGAAATGTTGGTTGGCTAGATGAATGCTTCACATTGCCTGTGGCAAGGGAAAACACCAAGGTCAGAACATTTGCAAAAGGCTGTCTGGGTAATGAAGACTTGACAGTTCTTCAAGGGAAAAAGAGGGCTTCTTTCAGATCTAACCAAACTTCATAGGGCTGCGTTTAAGGAACCCCTACTGCCCTTGTGACTTTTGCTCCCTAGGATGAGGACCTTCCACCCTGAAGAGACGCCGTCAGCTTTTCATTAGAGTAGTCAATGCCAACATAAAGGAGGCGGGGTATCCAGATGTCTTTTTTTTTTTTTTTCCTTGCCCAGGCTAGAAAACAAGGTGGGTAAAAATTGAGAGATCTTGGCTTCTTCTTGGGAAAGGTAGCAGTGATGTGTGTCAGACCTACCAAGACTATACCTCAGTCCTCCTGGGGAACTAGGAAGGGCACTTTGATAAACCCAATATCTCTCTCCTAGAGAGGAGAAGACTGGAATTATAATCCAAGACAGGCACAGGTATCCAGTAAACAGAAAATGCTTCTCAATCCAGGCCACACTAAGGAAGTGACACTAGAGTTTCCATGGGGAAGGCAAGCAACTGCTCTTTTCAACGTGTTGAAATTAGACATCTTTGAACAAATTACTCCACATGAAATAGCCTAAAGGAAGCCATGCCTCATGGAATCAGGCAGGCACTTCTGGGACTCCCAGCAAAGATCCCCTGCCTATCTATCCTTGCTTCTCATTCTGTGGGAGACCTTGATGTGAAATTGATTCCCTGGAATTGGAGGGAATTCATAAACTAATTTCTGGCAAAGGTCCCCAAGGGGCTCTTTTACTCCCAGGTCTTCTGGAAGTCAGTTGAGTCTTGTTTCAAGCCTTTTCTCCAACAAACTTGCTTCTGGATTAGACATTTTGTTGTTCTTAAGGAAGAAAAATTCAGCCAGTGTTAATGGCAGTCTCACTGGGTTCTAGGTTACTAGATATTGAGGTGAGCCCTTCCTGGTGAAATGGGTGTGAAAGCTATCTCAGGCATAGGCTCTCATTCCTTTCTCATGTGGTGGTCATTTCAACCCTAGCCAATTCAAAGTACTTTAAGAACACAGGAATAGAGAGAAGTTCCATGTGGCAAGGGAATATGCTATTCATTCATATTGATAACTAAAGCTTTAGTGTTAATTTATTGCTGAAAAATGGATTGAAATTACTTTCAAGTATTCTCTTATTCAGGATTTGGAAGCATATAGTAAGGAGGTGTGTAACAGTTTTCTTTTTAGGCAGCAGAATTCTAAAAAGTGGAATTTAATTCTAAAAGCTGCTGTGGGACAATGCTTTGTAGCCTGTCAATGTATTTTAATAAAATGTTGATTGGCCAGGCGGGACAACCAAGCAGGAAGTCGCCTGGAAAACTGCATTCCAAACTTTGTTTAGGATGCTGATTACAAGTTTTTATGATAATAGTCAGGAGAAAAGCTAAACAAAAGATATTAGATTCAGAGTTCTTGTTCTTTTTTTTTAAAAAAAAAAACAGGGGGGAGAGTGCTGTGAGACAATGGTTTGTAGCCTGTCAATTGTATTTTAATAAAATGCTGATTGGTCAGTAGACAGGCAGGAAGTATAGTCGGGACAACCAGGCAGGAAATAGAGGCAGGGCAACAAGAACCGGAGAATTCTGGGAAGAGAAAACTTGGTCTGCAGTCCTCACCCAGCCACAGAAGCAAGATGTGACTGCCCCAATGAATAAGGTACCAAGCCACGTGGTTAACATGGACAAGCATAATAGGCTAATATAAGTTATAAGAGTTAATAAGAAGCCTGAGCTAATGGACCAATCAGTTTACAACTAATGTAGACCTCTGTGTGATTTCTTGGGGACTTAACAACTGCGGGCACCGGGCAGGACAGAACTCAGTCAACAAAAAGCAATCTAAACATAGAATTCTACAAATAAACATATAGGACAGCATCCAGGTGACAATAGACACATTTGATGACTTTCCACTTGACCCAGGGTATGGAAAATTCCACAAGGAAAAGGACATAAAGTAGAGGATTGCTGTGGGACAATGGTTTTAGGCTATAAAGATTTGTTTCTTGTATTTGTTTAATAAAATGCTGATTGGCCAGTAGCCAGACAGGAAGTAGAGGCCGGGCAATGAGAACAGGAGAATTCTGGGAAGAGGAAAGGTCAGTCTGTACTCATCATCCAGACACAGAGGAAGCAAGATGTGACTGCCTTACTGAAAAAAGGTATCAAGCCACATGGCTAACACCGACAAGAATTATGGGCTAATATAAGTTATAAGAGTTAATAAAAAGCCTGAGCTAATAGGCCAATCAGTTTATAATTAATATAGGCCTCTGTGTGCTTATTTGGGACTAAACAGATTGGGACCTGGGGACAGAAACCTTGGTCAACAGAGGATAGAAGGCAGAGAAGAAAGAGACCTCCAGAAGGAGTCCTATGTTTCCTTTACCTACCAGGGAACAATAAAGATCTTATTCTACACAATTTCTTCAAATCTAATACCAAAGCAGAAGGTCTCCAAGTTCACTCTGTGCCTTGTGCCATAATGGGTCTGAGGACTGAAAAGATTCTCTCACCCTTCATGACCTCCATCTCTATGACCCCACCATGGAGCCATCAGAACAGAACCCCAGGCCTTTCTCTCAGTCCTACTATGTAGATTCCCCTGATTCCTGTTTACCCTTCCATGCCCTCTGTTCTGTACCATATAGAGAGCTGCACACTCCTAGATGTGTCTCCATGTTCTGCCCCCACTAGTTCAATCTATCCTTCTGTGCTCTCTGGGTCACATGGTCCATCACCAAAAAAGTCCACAGCCTCTACTCATCCCAGAACATGTCTTTCCTTAATGACTTGAATCAGCATCCAGCTCTTCTTAAAGACATAGCGTCTGGATAGCCTGTAAGATCGCTGTAACTCTTTCCTCCATGCTGATCCACACCACCCTTGGCCTCTCACCAGGCCTTATAGAAGTATTCAGAATTAACGTCATTCTCTTCTCCCTAAAATGCTTATTTGAATTTCATCTCATCAGACCACAGCAATCCATTTTGCAGTCATCTGCTGGCCCCTTAATCCATGCTCATTCATTTCTCAGGGAGCAAATATCTCAGTATCACCCAATTTGAGGCTGTTTGTAAAGCTTAAGGGTTTCAACACCCAAGAGCATGATTAGGCCAATACTCTGGCCTCTATGTCAGGGATCCCACCCTCTACCATTTTTAGTCATTCACACAGATGTCCAATTCCAGCCATTACCTTTACTTATGGCCCCTCTACCATCACACCCTCTCTAACTGTATCTAACTTCTGCTAGGATGGTAACGTCACCCATCTTCTGACAGCATAAGATGTAGATCATTGCCACTCTTCTCCCATCTTTGCCCAGACCATGACCTCACTTCCCTCACAATTGAACTCAAGACTCTGCTTCAATCCTTAAAATCAAGTCTTTGCCGTTTCTTTTAAACAACTGTACTCAGTGGCTTAACACATTCAACTTTTCCATTATAGGTTAAGGCAAAAGTAGTCACCTCTGCTGATTTTGCTTATGAACATCATTGTGGCTAGAGGTCAACATGACCATAGGGATGGCTGGCACACAAAGAGGTGTTCCTTAACAGCCATCTTAGTCATGCTCTGTTTCTGGGTGTGTCTGCTCCTCTGCAGGTGAGCACACCTTCCCATCTCTCCTTACACCTCAAACTCACCATCTGCTGTCTCACTTCCCTTTAAAGTCCTTGCTTCCAATTTACCAGGACAGCAGAGGGCATCAAAGGAAGATGCCTACTGCGTCACATGTTGGCTTCACAGACACTTGTCTTCTAGCCAACACCCCAGCTCTGCTTGCCAGTAAGATGAGACAATGCTCATTGTTTTGAAAAGACTAATAAATGTAAGGAAGAAAAACTTCTACAAAGATTTGCTGTGCCGCTGTGGTATATTGTAACTAACAGTTCCTCCTAAGAAACAAAACTCATAGCTAGTAGTCTCCAGCTTCTAGAAGAGCTCAATATATATTTTAAAATAATAATTAAAATGCTGCAACTTCCCCTTCATTGGAGGACTGATCTCTGTATTATCCTTGGGGGACCAGACACATTTTAAAGTCAGTGTTCTGTGACAGGGACCCTAAGTAGACATGTTAGATGAAAGGTCAGTCAGATCTACACAGAGTGACTTTATATAGTAGGTAGCAGGGAATGAGAGCAGAGAACCAGCATGGGTACTTTGGGTACCTGGCAGAATGTGACTGGGGAATCCCATTTCCCTGCCCAACATCTTCTGTTGTATAGAATCAAGTAACATGTAAACACCAAGTAGATTCACTCATATATATGGACAATGAAGAAGGACTGAATCAGCAGTGGTGAATATGCTTACTCTAGGTCGGAATCAAGACAGTAGAGTCAATTGGGCCATTAGCACTTACCTGAGGCCTGCTGGGGACATTGGCTGAAAGAGAAAATAGAAGAAATCAATTAAGGGCTTTGCTGTTGCTTTGTGGCTTCCCTTCTCATGAATGCAAATTTGTAGAAAGTTCTTCAGAATGAGAGAACAGTTCTGTCCCCACAGGGATGCTAGCAAGAAGTAGGGGCCAGCCTCCTCCACCCGCTGGCTAAATGCTCTAAGCCAGGGTAGTTTCCCCAGTAAGTGTCTTATATTCTATGGGATTTAAAATACAAACATTCTATAAAACATTATACAAAATATATGCTAGCACTTTAAAAACATATGTATTGAAACATTCAGAAAGCTCTTAGTTTTATAAAAAAAATCTCAAAACTCTGCCAATTATTTTTTTGGATTGTGTATAATAAATACCGAGGATATCTATAGATTGCATCAACTAAATTCTGACCAAAAGGGTCCTTAGAGGCAAATAGTATTTTCTGCTCACTCTTGTCGGGAAGATGTGGGAAGACATTGGTTATATGTTTGCATCAATGAAAAAGGGGCTGGTCATTCTTCAGCAGTCCTCTGGGCTGAGATCAATAAGATTTCCTTACATGGGTTCAGTTAAGAGCACAGAAGTTACACTAGGGTTCCCAACTATCCTTCAGTGTCTTCCTTGTGATGGAGCCCTCCCCAGAGAAACTGATGTCATGGGCTTAACAAGAGCTGGCACCATTGAATATCTTCTAGCTCTGTGCATTGCCAGTCTCATTTTTCACTAAGATCACCCTCAGGTCTCTTGTTCTTGTGGTCTCCATTTAAAAAATTCAGATAAGATTACACAGAGTGCAGTCTAGAAGACAGAGCTGATTACAGAGCAGTTCAGCGACCCTCTGAAGGAGAACAGTAATGACCAAAAGACCACTGTCTGCATTTACATTTTAGGCAGGCTTCCAGTGGTTCTCACCCTTCCTAAGGCTGTGAGCCTTTAATAAAGTTCCCTATGTTGCGGTGACCTTCAACCATAAAATTACTTTCATTGCTACTTCATAACCAGAATTTTGCTACTATTATGAATGGTAATAAATATCTAATATGTATGATATATGATATGTGATTCCCAAAGGGGTCTCAACCCACAGGTTGAAAACTGCTGCTTTATGATATTTTAAAAGATCCCAGGGCTATAGAGATGCTTGGCTCAGCTGTTCAAGAGTACCAACTGCTAGTACCCATACTACAACACACAGTAGGCTATGTCTGCAGTTTGGAGGATCTAACTCCTTTAGCCTCCATTGGCACCGCATTGATGTGGGAGTGTTATCTATTTGTTGTTTTTATTGGTTAATTAATAAAGAAACTGCTTGGCCTTAGATAGGCCAGCCCTTAGGTGTGTGGAGTAGACAGAACAGAATTCTGGGAGAAAGAAAGCCGAGTCAGGCAGTCACCATAATTCTCCTCTCTGAGGCAGACGCAGGTTAAGAATGTCCCTGTAAGCCACCAGCTTGTGGTGCTACACAGATTATTAGAAATGGGTTAATCAAGATGTGAGAATTAGCCAATAAGAGGCTAGAACTAATGGACCAAGCAGTGTTCAAAAGAATACAGTTTCCGTGTAATTATATCAGGTAAAGCTAGCTGGTGGCCGGGAGCTGAGCGGTGGGAAGCAGCCCGCTGCTCCATCACTACAGAGTGGCGCCCAACGTGGTAATGAACTCCATGTAAAACCTGAGAGGGCTTAAAAAAAGGGAGAGAGAGTTTAACACAGCTTTTTGCTGTTTGTGGGTAGCTTGCCACAAAACTGCGCCCATATTCCCAATGTTCTTTTACATTTAAAGGAGGATATGATACAGATATGAATAATTTGCATTGGTATAGATTTTAAGGTCAATTTTGTTATAAGTATATGTATTTCTGATATTGATTAAGGTATTGTGATTGTGTAGTTCATTTTAAAAATGTAAAGTATAATTAAGAAATATAGGTTGTTAATGGATAATCATCAATAATAGTCAAGCTTGTAGTCATATTAGTTAGATTTTCTAGATATATAGAGATATACTTCAATTAGATAGGCATTCTCCATATCTTTCAAGGACCACAGAATATGGCATTTAAGATGTTTTAATAACTTAGGGCTTTTCTGACAATGAGACATGTCTGCTCTTGGCAGCACCAATCTACTTCAAGAGGAAGATGGGCATCGAAGAGGCTACTTATAGAGTTCATTAGCCATTTGAGCAAGAAACTTCTCTTGCCTGGACTGTTGCATAAACTGGACACAAAGAACCCGCAGAGAGAGGACTGCTGAACTTGCCTAAAGGTAAGATGGTCTTTCAGAGGTTTTTGATTCATGAAAGAGTCTGCAAGACATTCTGCAGGACACAGCAAAAAGTGACTAAACTGTCTTTGAAATTTCCTGCTTCATGGAAATGTCTGCTGGATACTATGGGCCTATAGGCTGAAGATAGATGTCCCAACAAAACAAAAAAACTTTGGGTGGCTGTCCAGACAGCGAGATGTCTCTGTCATTTCTAGAGTTTTGGACTTCTTGTTTGCTTAGGTAATATTATACCCTTCTGGAGTCTTTCATAGAGTTAAAGAATGGTTAGTTATAGTTATAGTTTTCCTTAGTTATGATAAGAGATAAAATAGATATAAATATTGTAACTGTAATTCTTACTTGATAATTGTTTTGTTATATGTAATTTTACTATGTTAAAGTTAAAGCCTTCTCTTTTGTTTAAACAGAAAAGGGGGAAATGATGTAGGAATGTCATCTATCTGTTGCTTTCATTGGTTAATTAATAAAGAAACTGCTTGGCCTTTGATAGGCCAGCCTTTAGGTGGGTGGAGTAGACAGAACAGAATTCTGGGAGAAAGAAAGCTGAGTCAGGCAGTCACCATGATTCTCCTCTCCGAGGCAGACACAGGTTAAGAATCTCCCTGGTAAGCCACCAGCTCATGGTGCTACAGATTATTAGAAATGGGTTAATCAAGATGTGAGAATTAACCAACAAGAGGCTAGAACTAATGGGCCAAGCAGTGTTCAAAAGAATACAGTTTCCATGTAATTATTTCAGGTAAAGCTAGCTGGTGGCCGGGAGCTTAGCGGTGGGAAGCAGCCCGCTGCTCCTTACTACACTGCATATACATAATACAGACATACAAACAAGCAAAACACCCATGCATGTAAAATAAGAGCAACAAATCTTTTTTAAAAGATCTTGTACTTAGTAGCTCTTCCTGAGAAAATCTAGATGGCTGTCCCCTACAAAAAGATGCCCACACAGTAACCTTAAAAGGTTTAGGAATCCTACATCCTTCTGGGTAGGATATTTACTTCCTTCCAATGCTAGAGACATGACTCAGGACCCATATTTTTTCTGAGTAGTAACTAAAGTCTCACTGTTTCACATTTGTGCTTTACAGGCCATTGACTGTGTCCTCTACGTTTGCTAATATCTGATACATTCACTGCAGAATCATACTCAACCTAGGGGAAAAGAAAGGAGATTTGCTTTCTAATAATGGCAATATTTAATTTTGGCCAAATGGGGAGTGTCTCTAATCACATAGCATATTTTCAATCTCTCATTTTCTTGTTTTGTTTTGTTTTTGCTTTTAAAGAAGAAAGGACACCACTGACCCATACTGGGTCATTGTGAGAAAAAATGGGAAAGTGAGAGGGGCACCTCTCTGATGTAGGGTTCCCCTCTATATGCTGTGAATATGTTTTATTACCATTGGTTATTAAAGAAGCACCTTTGGGCTTATAGCAGGGCACAATATAGCCAGGTGGGAAATCTGATATATAGAGAGAGTAGGCAGAGTCAGGGAGATACCATGTAGCCGCTGAATGAGACAGAACCCGCAGAACCTTGCCATTAAACCAGGAGCCTCGTGGTAATACACAGAATAATAAAAATGGGTTAATTTCTGATGTAAGAGCTAGCTAGAAATATGCTTAAGCTATTGGCTAAACAGTATTGTAATTAATACAGTTTCTGTGTGATTATTTCAGGTCTGGCAGCCAGAATGAGCAAGAGGAGGGAAAATGAAAAATGTGAGCCCTAGTATTTGGGAGAAGAACCAGGATAAAACAAGCCCAGCCCTATACGGTATATCCCATCCTAAAGTTATATCCCATCCTATAAGGTATATCCCATTTTAAAGTTATATCCCATCTTAAAGTTAAATCCCATCCTAAAGGTATATCCCATCCTATAAGGTATATCCCATCCTATAAGGTATATCCCACCCTAAAGGTATATCCTATCCTAAAGGTATATCCTATCCTATAAGGTTAAGGTATATCCCATCCTATAAGGTATATCCCATCCTATAGAGAGAGAAAAAAAGAGTGAACATGAATAAGCTCGTGAGCGATCCCCCAGAGTAGTCATTGAATTGTTAAGAAGGACATGTTACATACATATTCTATCTGAAAGATAGCAATGCTTACTTTCTAAATAATTAATATATATTAGTCAAACCCTTGACAAAAACCAATCCATTTTGTCTTTCTTTTTTTCAAACAAATAAAAGCTGTAGGCGATCTCCTTAATAAGATCCCCGTAATAAAAAGAAAATTAGGAAACCAGTGAAGTTTTACATGTTTTGAGTTTCTGACGTATGCCATTCAAACTTGACACATGTAGGCAGGACACAATGGAAATATGCCTATTAGAAGAATAATTCTAAATGCATTGGTTCCAGCAGCAAGAAGTTACTCAACTTACTACTAATATTTCATACATTTAAACAACATAAGAAAACTATACTGTGCTTACAAAGAAATGGTTAACGTCTTTAGTAGAATTTTTACTACATGACTGGCTAATTGTCAGCACAAATTAAATCCCATTCAATAATTCGGGATGAGATGGTGATGCCCTGAGTTCAAAGATGCCATCAGAGCCAACTGCGATATTAATTTAAAATGTAAGAATTTTAAAGTCTTTCAACAACACCATGTAGACATGGTTTTTAAAAATATGCTAAAGCAAGCAATCCATGCAATTAGGATTTATGAATACAGACTCTCATTTCAATTCCGAAATTGCCACGAGTGGAAATTCATTTGTAGCCATGCAAATTTTCGAATCCACAAGGGATCAAGAGTCAAGATTAACATGCAAATCAATTCATCCATCACACACTGGCTACAAGCAATTTGAAAGTTCTCCTTAGTTACAGAAACTCGGGAGATCATTTTGGCATTGAGAGGGTGCCAATCCTATTTATTTAGATAAACTTCCAAAGGTGGTCAGCAAGCTTTGGGAGTTGCAAAGCCTTAATAAAATATTTGCTAACTGAGCAATTTAAAGGGAACATTAAAGCTAATGAATCCTGCAAAACCTTGCTAAGTGCTATCTGGGAAATTTTCAAGCAATAAACCTCTCCAGCTAGAAACATGACCATCCCAGTACACCACTGACTATGTCGGTCTGGAAGCATGTATTAGGCACCAGGTCTATATCATGCACTAATTGAGTCTGTACCAATTTGTTAATAAATTTAGGTAAAATTCTGAAATATGCATCAATTTTATAAATGAGACAATAAAGCCCTTTTTCAGAAATGGAAAGAATTCTCTACCTTGGAGATTTTTATGTCATCCAAAAAATATGAATATAAGCAATAAAAATGAACAAACAATGCCATTTTGAGGTGTTAAAAAAAGAGCATGGAAATTCCACAGGATTCTAAAATATACCATGTACCATTTCTTATGTAAAAGGTACCTGAATTTTTCATAATAACATGCATGCCTAAGAGTGCTCATCCACAGAGAATTTCAATACCATAAAGACTGTTGGATGTACAATTAAGGAGAATATCAACAGCTTCCTCATAAATTACCTGCAAACCTCTATAAATTACCCTGTGAGCATTGCGGGTGATGTCACAGGTAGATGATGTCATAAATAAAGAGGTCCCAAGGCAGGGGAAGGGTTTCTCCTCTGCAGTGTGATCTCCATAGAGACTAAACCTCATCTCAGGAACCAATCATCATGAACAGTTCATCTTATCTCCAACCAATGGGAATTATATATCTTCATCAAGGGTCAGGGCATGAGGCAGCGACATTTATGTCTGAAAATTCAGTGTTATTTTATAGTTTTTTTTTATTTTTTCACTATATTCTGTTTTAAGCAAGGCAGAGGTGAAGAGTTTTAAAATTAAATATATGTATCAGAATATGCTTTGGGAAAGATTTAGAAGTGCTTTAGAAAAAGAAACTTGAAAAATAAAAATCCCGACCTTGTGGCCCAACATTTTCAATACAGAAATTACACATTTTGTATTTACTACAAAGCATAGATTTAAGCACATTTCACGCTCTGACTTTGCTCTCAGCAGATTTTTAAATTGAAAGGTTCCAGTATGACATTTAAATAAAAACTTCTGAATAGAATTCAGTTTACAGAAGTTGTTATTCAAGGGAGGAATGTATTTAGGTGGAAGCAGAGCTAAAAAAGAAGTTTTCAGAAATTTTAATTTTGAAACTCTCATTAAAAAAAATGACAGGTTATTTTTTTTTCCTAGCTGCTGAATGATACATAAGTCAGAACAAAACCCTCTCAAATGGAATTCAACCGTGAACTACAATTAATAGCAGATTTAACATGTTCATCTATAGTTCTCTACTTAGGATGGAATTTTCTATGGCACGGACAGAAAACAGTGAAAGGAAAGCCTGACTGGCTAGCTTTCACACCCGATTGAGAGGCTCCCCGCTGAATCATAAGTGATACATTCATGATCTTTCAAAATATTTGAAACCGTGACCTTAAAGTGGTGTGGCTATGGACTCAAGTAGACTGCTGCTGAGCTGAGAGACCACAGAGGTCTCTAAGGTGGGAGCCCCGCAGAGCCAGCAAAGGTGGCTAGGAGCCAGAAAGAAACTACTTTAAAAAAATTCTATCAATTAAAATCATTACGTAATTTCCCCTGGGATTTGGAGGGTTCTCGTTGGGTTACTTCCTGGCTCTTGGCTGTTCACATGGAGATTTCAGACTCATAATCTGTGAGCCTGTGAATCGTTTGGCTTTTACACAATGATTAATTTATTCTCTGGGGCAGGGGAAAAATCTTCAAAAGGGGGGGGAAAGCCAGAAATAACTCTTTTCTGATCCTGACTATGAAGACATCTGACGATCTCCAGGAAGTCAGGGAGTTACCTTAGAAAGGTTACTTTCATGCTACCCAAAGTTCTTTGAAGTAACCCAAGTTTCTGACAGCCTGCACGGTAGGGAAGTTTGGTCCTAAAGACAGGCATTGTTCTACTGGATTTTATTTAGTCTCTTAGGAGCCATGTGGGAAAATCTCCAAGAGCAGAATCACGCTCTCACTGAACCTCAGGATCTGTCTGGCATCTCTGTGGGGCTTCATTTTCTCGGTCGGCAAGCATATAGGCCTGCGTCACTTCAAAACAGCCCGCAATCTTGCTCCTAACGCTGGCTTTTGTTATCAAACCAAAGAAGACAGAGGGTGGCGTGGGGAGAAAGAGAAAGACATTGCGGGGGTGGCACAGTCGCTCCTACTCACCGCTGCAAGAGGGGAACGTGCTATCGATCTGCTCCATCACCTCTGTGAGGTCCGTGCTGGTGTCATGAGGTGGGGCCAGCAGGTCCTCAGATGCTGCGACACAGACAGGAAGAGCAGGGAGCTTGAAATTAATGCCCATCCTTCGACCAGGTGAAAATATTGCAACCCAGCCCTCAAAATATTAATGGGATAGGAATTCTCATTGTAAAGAACAAGTTCAGAGGGAAATAGGAGAAAACATCTGTATTCATCTGACGTGTGCACTACACACACATATACGTACACAGTATGGAGAGGCTTACAGGGGTCTGTACCCAGGTCTTTAAAAAAAGCTAGGGAAACACTCTATCATTGACATATATCCTCAGCCCCAGCAATAGCCTTTTATATAGTTAAAAATGTATTCTATGTTTGTGCGGGTAAATGTATATGCCCAAGTATAAAATTGAAAAATAAATTAGCAGTGGATGTGATACCAATACACTAATTGAAGACCCATTATTTTGTACATAACAATATTCTACCAATTTCTTTCTTCTTTCATTTTTATTTTGCAGCTTTCATCAGAGGCTGTTTTATCTTGATGTAAAAGAAATCTATGCTCTATAGCACTTTGCTCTTTGATATGTATTTTATTCTAGGACTGAAACCACAATAGTGTTTTTAACACCACAACTGTCAGGGAGAGGTCCCCATTGTGGCTGATAGTATTGGTGGTCCTTCTGCCTTAGATGGCAGGTGGAGCACTGTCCACCGAAACGGGGAGGGATAAGGGAAAGAGAACCACGTTTGATAACATTCTTCAGCAGCAGGTTTGGAAGGTGTTCAAATGTAAAATTTGTAAAGAAATAATATATTATAACTAATCATTCTCAGGGAGGGAAGAGATGGCTCACTGGGTAAGAGTGCCTGTTATATGGGCATGATGACGTGAGTTTGGATTCCAGACTACCTCAAAAGCTGGCTGTGATCATGTGTGCTTATAACCCTTAGTGATGTGGGGGTGGGGTGTGAGGTGAGCTGAGATGGAAAGATTGCCCCGGCTTGCTGGTCACCCTAGCTCCGTGTTTAGCGAGAGACTTTGTCTCAAAGAATAAAGTAGAGAGTGAGAGCTGGACACTGATGGCTTCTTCCATCCCCAGGGAGCATCTTCACACATTTGTGTACCTACACTACCACACACCACACACACACACACACACACACACACACACACACACACAATTCTCAAGGCAGAAAACACTAATTTCTTGTTTATTCCAAATGAAAAGAGCATTTTTTCATCACTCACCAAAATTGGATCCACGCCTACACATTTTATAAACAAGCACATTATAACTAAAGTGGTTTTGATATTATTAAAATGGCTTTACATTCAGTTCAGACTAAAAGAGAATAATGTTTTATGCTTAAAACAGCCAGATGTAAGAATGCTAACAGACGGAAAACCAAAAAGATGGCTACGTCCAAACCAGACTGTGTGTAGTGGCTTTGCTTCAGGGACACCCACCTGCCTGGTGGAACTGTGGGCCTGGGTCAGGGTCAAGGGAGTAGCTCAGTGCAGAATGCTGCGGCGAAGCCCACGGGGAGACACCGTTGATGCGGGAATCGGATTCAGGCTGAAATCACAGGGGAAGCTAGCATAAGAAATATTCGCATAACCTAGAAGGAACAGAATTCCTCCCCCAGTCCCCATCAAAGGCAGCTAAGCCTAAACAAACGCTTGTCGTTGGGTGATTTCAGAGGCATGGCAGGATCGACTGGGTCAGAGCTTGTGAACCCGGGCTCTTTCCTTCTTTTTCCTTTGAAGAACTGATTGGATTGAGCTGCAGGATTTCTTGTCCCTGCTATTTTCATCTCTCAAATTCCGCATCATTTTTACGTCAACCTACTGAACTTAGAAGGTGGGGTTTACCTTCCAGAAACTAGCATCAGCATTCTAAAATGGCAGATGTACTAGCTTTCAAAACTGCTCCCTTCAGAGGTGACCCGGGGAGAGAATTTATCAGAGTGGTTTTGTACTCAGCAGCTTGAACCTGGAGTCCAGCTGCGAAGCTCAGAAGCGGTAGAGTTCCAGGTAAACCACAGGACCTTCCGTGTCACGGATTTCGTGTGTCTAAACTGCTTCAGTGTTAACTTAGCGTGTGCTCCGAGTCAAGAGGAAGCTATGCTAAAAGCTTTAGCGGTCACAGCCTTGTCATAGAATGTTGGCAGCGGAGTGATGAATGAGTCTTTCTAAAGCCATTTTCACAGCCGACACAGGGCAAACCCTCCCTAACAGCTCCTGTGCATATTTTTGAACTGGTGACGTCTGGGCTGATAAGTACATGGTCAAACAGAATCTAGCGTATGGGGATGCAGAAGTTACTTTTTTAATGCAGATTTTCCATTAAGTCTCCATTAGTTGACGTCTGGTAGTTTCCCCTGTTTATATTGAGTTAAACTTCCCCTCTACTTCTGGCACTCATGCTAAATCGTTACAAAGAGAAAAGAGCTTCGGAGACCGGGACAGTCTGAGTCACTTGGATACCGGCTCCCTCCGAAAGCATTACTGGGTAATTCTGAAAGGATATGAGCCATTAGGTTCTCGGTCTAATAGGATGGAGGGAGTGGCATGAGGTTAGAATGCATCTAAAAGCTTTTCCTTTCCTCCCAAGAGCGTCAACGCACTGCAGTAAGCAAGGGCTGCAAGCGGAGCTTCAGTGATGGTTCCGGGTGGACACTAACATGGGCACATTAACATCTGATGTTCCAAGACAGCGGCTCTCACCCCTTCCCCATGCTGCAACCCTTTAATACAGTTCCTCATGCTGTGGTGACCCCAACCATAAAATTATTTTCACTGCTACTTGATAACTGTAATTTTGCTTCTGTTATAATTAGCAATGTAAATATTTGATATACAGGAGATCTTATATGCAAGCTCTGTGAAAGGATCGTTTGAATACCGCTCCCCCTGCCTGCCCCTAGCCAAAGGGGTTGTGACCCACAGGTTGAGAACCACTGCTCTAAGCGATCACACAAGGAAACTTATCTTTTTTTTTTTTTCTTTTTTGAGGCACTACTCAAGAACTTCAAATTCACAGTACGAGCAACATGTGTCCCCCACCCCTGTGTGTGTGATATTTTATATTGAGGTTAGATTCAAACCGACAATCCGAAGACTTAACAGGAGGCCAAGTCTGGATTCACTTATGAAACCCTCTATTTTCTAAAGATATAGAATTTTCAGGCTTTTAAGCAAACGACTCCCACAGCCATGTCAAAAAAACTCTACAGTGAGCAGGCAGAGAGAAAAGTAAATGACCAAAGGAAGAAGAGAGTTCTACCACTTATGATGTAGGTAATGCAAAAATTATAATGTTTTCAAGAATCCTGACAGAATAAAAAGACCCTGATGACAACTGTGTCAACATGGCTTTCTCAAACGTAAGCAAATCCCTGGAGAAAAGTTGTGTTTGTTTTGATGCACTACATCTCCCATGGATAAAAAGTATCTCTTTTAAGATGTCACAGGATGCTACGCCACAGAGGCTGGAGAAAAAGAAGCCATGACTTGGATGTTTCTGCCTATCAAGAACCCTTCTGCAGGGATTGGGCTCTACAGGCACCTGCGGCAGAGCCTTCCTTGCTGTTCTCCTCCTGACGTTAAGTCAGTCGTGTGGGAGAAGACATCATAGCAAAGACACAGCATGCTGCCAGGAACAGGAAGGCAGAAGTCATACCCTACACTTCTTTCATAAACCAAAGAAGAGTGGCTTTTCAAAATGGTAAGTTATTAGCCAGAGCTGAGTCATAAAAAGGAATGTATCAGCTTCTGATCAATATTAAGAAATAAAGGCAAGAGAAAAGGAAGAGGAGGAAGGGGAAGAAAAGGGCAGGGAGAAGAAGGGAAAAAAGCAGGGCAAGGGAAAGGAAGGAGAGAAAGAAAAATAGGGAACACAGGGTAAGTGGTGCCATCTCAGCTAAAGGCAGGCATTATTTTCCATTCACCATAAACGCATTTTCCTTTGAACATAAATTGGGCTTCTTATTGTCAAGAAGGTTTGCAAGCCACTGCTATAGAAGATTCCGCCAGTAGTAAAAAATAACAACGGCAAATTAATAGCCATCTGTTCCTCAGGTACCAACTCACTTCTGGTTCACTGCAAGAAAGAGTTAGATTGAAGACTGTAGGTCACTTGCTGTCCCTGGTCTCCATGGAGGCTTTCCTTATGCAGCACGGGCTCATGCATACCACAGGAATTTTTTTTCTAATTAAAATATTCCAAGCAGAGATTTCAGCACAAAAGAAGAATGAGAAATTCTACAGTCAGGTGGGAAAACACACGTTTTTGTCTCGGCAAAGATTACATTTGTACACATGAAGAGGGATTTCTAAGCCAGTAAACACTGAATTAACTGTGGCAGTGAAGAATTGAAGGCGGATATCTTCACAGCTACCACGGCCAGTCGCGGGCTCCTGGGACATGGACAGGTGCCATGCAGAGATCCCACACAGGACTGCACACCCCTACCTGCTCCAGCAGCTGTCTGAGGCGGTGCAGCTGCGACTCCAGCTGTTTATTGTGATCTTCCAAAATCTGCATCCTCGCCTCCAGCCGCCCTTTGTGCTGCCGAAGGAGCTTAGCTTCCGCTATAAGTTCTGAGTCCTCGGATGTATGATGAGGCGACACGATGGATTCTGGAGGCGAGCCCACAGGGAGGCCCCTTCTTAGGTGCTGCTCCTTCAGCTGCTCATACTCCACCTGCAGATTTCTAATATAGGAAAGAAACAAAACAGAACAGTTTAGATTATTATTAGGTCTGTCCTCTTCTCGCCCAAACTGTCTAGGAACTCCAAATTTAGCTTGTGCTACTACTTCGTCCCATGGAAAAACATTTACTAATAGGAAGAGTGAAAAGGAAGAAAATGGGCTTCAAGCAAGACAGCATCCACTCTCCATCAATAAAATCCAGCTGCAGCAGGCTCTACTAACACCCCAGCCTGCTAATATCTTCCCAAATCTTGACCTTATTTGAAGACTTAGACGACAGATCCCAAAAGAGGGCAGGGAGGAACCATTGGCCTCCCTGGAAGGAAGAGAGCCATGTGTTTTCTTTTGCTGGGGGTAGCGCACCTTTGTTCTTCCTCCAAGTCAGCAATGATCCGCTCCAATTCCCCACGCTCTTCCCTCTCCACGGACTTCAAGATCTGAGCTGGACTCTGTGGCTGGCTCATGGGAGACTCCCCGCCCAGTGTCTGGCAGTACTGCTGGATGAGGGCATGCTCATCCTCCCTAGGGAGACAAAGAAGACAGACAGCGGCTCACATCTGGGTGGTGAGGTTTCCGAGCACACAAGAAGCAAGAACAGTGATGCTCGGACTGGTGGCTGGAGCAGGTTGCCTTGAAACTTTGCGTCTCCATGGTATTCCTTTGAAAACTGAAGCTGGACGTTCAAAGCTTGTGTATGATGAGTTCAACATTTCAAAACATGAGTGTTACCATCTGTGATTCTCACAACCCCCAGAGAGTTGTTCCATGCTAAAGAGAAAATAAAGTAAGACACAGTAGTTCCTATAAAGAAGGGCAATAAGTTGCTATAAATCAGGCTTAACTGGGTATAGCCCATCTAATGGCCATAGATGGCATGCAACCCAAAATAGCCGGGAATGTGGTCCAATATATTTGTAGGTAACAATATAATACTGCAATGTCAAAAGACTGGACATGCCTAGAAGCATTTAATACAAAAGTTAAAGAAGTTAGAGGCAAACATATCACTTAAGACTACCAAAACAGCAGATTGAAAGATCACCGAGCCAAAAACAACCAATCTTCAGATTCGGTTGTAACCAATTCTGCAATGTTTGATAATCCAAAGGATTTATAACTTATTTTATTTAACTAAGAGCATAAATGCAAATGTACATGTTTATAAAAATAGCAATAGATACTTTGCTTGGTACAATCACAAGAAATTTTTAGGACCAATATCCTGCACTAAGTCATTAATTGCATTTAATTCAGTGAGGTTCCTCATCTAATGATGTTACTGAAGCAAATACATCAGCAGTAGGGGAGCCACACAGCGGCGACAAAGCCAGTCTGTCTGTGGTGAGGAAAGGCTGGGTATATCCAGCTGGCCTGGACCATCTTATCCTCCTCTTCAAGACAGGTCTAGTTGGAAGTTTTCAGCAAGGTGTGACTGCCACATCTCCTGTCTCCTGGGATTGCAGAGCCCACAAACACACTAGATTTGGCCTATTTTGATATTTTTTGGCAAGTGGGGGAGGGGGGGACAGGACAAAGCTCTCAGGAAAATAAGATGCAAGTGATGTGGCCACTAGAGTTTAAATGGAACTGTCCTATGGTTGGACCTCCAGTGTCAGCTGTGTGGCTGCAGGGATCTCTCAGCATCATCTGTTGCCTTGGACCAGAGCAGGTTCTAAAGCATGTCCAAGGGGAACTTGGCAGTCCTGGACCTTTCACTGTTTCACCTGGGCCTTGAGACTGCTCTGCTCTTGTACAGGTAAGCAGTATCAGATCCTGGGCAAGCACTCAGATTCTTAAGTGTGATACAAAATCCATCCTTAGCATAGTGCACCTCTGCCCTGACAATCAGGGGTCTGAAACTGCATCTATAACTTAGTGTGTTCTTAGAAAAAAATGTGGTGCCTCAGCATGAAGATCAGAGACACAATGATGCCAAAAACTGGGTGTTATGCTCACTGAAGCATCAGAGCAGGGTTCCAGGGACCCACTGGTGACTTACTGGGACTCCCTTCCTGCATGTAGCTTCCACCAGCCCCCAGAGAGAGACTGACTACACACACACACACACACACACACACACACACACACACACACACACACAGGAAGTATCCATGCATATTAGTGTATATGTGTGCATACATATATGAATGTGTTAAAAATAAAAGTCACATACTTTGCCTAAGCTTAAATGCCTGACTTGACCTCCCTCCTGTTAAATGCCTTTGATCAGGGTCGTGAGATGGGCCATTTACAACAAAGGAAGAGAGAAGTGTGTGGACACCATAAGATGTGGAAGTGGCCATGACAAACATCTCTTCACTTTTATTAGGAGATGCAAGGTCTCTGGGGAAACAAAAGTAGCCTCTATAAAATCTCCTGGTGTCCTGAGGACCAAACGATGAGAAGAACAGAAAAACGGGTTTACTACTATCCCTGCAAAGCTGACGGAACCCCTAGGCTATCCACACAGAGAAATGAAACAGAAATCTGGCAGGGAGGGCTAGCAAGATGGCGCAGTGGGTAAAAGTGGTTGCTCTACAGATGACCTGAGTTTGATTTCCAGGACCCACAAGGTGGAAGGAGAGAACTAACTCCCCTAAACTGGCCTCTGACTTCAATGGCACACATGCACATGCATCTGCACATACATGCATAACCACACAAACACTGTAAGGGAGCTGTGGAGGAATAGAGTATTTTCCTGGTGAGGAGCACATGGCCACGTATAGGTTTGTGGGAACGCGCACACATACACACACACACACACACACACTCACGCACGCACGCACACGCACGCGCACACTCACACAACTCATGACCAGAAGCCTAAATGTAAACATTTGAAGAAGCAGAAGTAGAGATGAAGCCCTGAGATGAAGACCTCAACAACCTGGGACACTAGCTAGCAGCTGTGTATCCCAGGTAACACTTTTGGAGTTACTGCTCTCTCACTTCATAAGGAAAAGGAGGCAGTAAGAAAAGCTGCAAGTTTAAGACTCAGCTAGCAGATGGACAATGTATCAAGATCCAGGGGATACACAATAAAGCAAATACAAAATAAGAACACAGCAGAACATACTGAAAATATTTCTTTTCATGCTGAAACACCTAAGCAAGCAACTAAAAAGATGGGATATCCAAGAAAGAGAAAAATGTATATAACTGTAAATGTTATGTATTTTAAGGGTTAAACACCATAAGTAATCTGCTAAAAATAGAAGCGAAATGAAGAGTCATTTGCAAAGGAAGAAAAAGCGTTAGCCTCCTACTGTCCCAGACACTTAAGGTTCTATGACAGGGAGAGATGTGTACAGTTCTACCTTGGGCATTTACATGAGCAGAAAGCTCATTCATTTCCCTAGTACTTTGTCCATGGGGAAAAGAAAGAATGATCAAAAACAGTGCCAAACAGAACAGAACCAGACGGCAACTTGAGTTATTAAAATAGGTAAGGAGCAAATCAAAGGAGCTATATACGCCTGTGGATAGTATATGTAAATTAAAATCATAAAAGACTCAAAGTAATCGGCTTCAAAAGGGATAAATAATAAGAAATAAGAATAAAAATAAAGTGTGGAACGCAAAAGTGGCCTGAATGATCTCATGGCTAGGAACTGGCCACAGATTTGGCCTACAGCTCCTCTGCTATTAAGAAGCACCACAGATCATTTATCCCCAAAAATTATTTAAGCAGACACCTGGGCCTAGGGATTATGTGCTTAGTATTAATACAAACCACACTTTGCTTTAAAAAGTCAAGCCAATGAGATGACCCAGGAAGTAAGAGTGCTTGCTAATGAACTGGGTTCAAATATCTGGAACCTCCAAGACTTTTGTAAACTGTCCTCTAATCTCTGTACACATGCAGGCATACATCTGCACACACACACACACACACACACACGCACGCACACACACACACATACACAAATAAGTAATAAATATTTTTTTAAAGTTGGACACTGGGAAATCTCTTGAAATTCTATTAGGAAAGCATTTTGTTGTCAACATTTCTGTGAGTTTCCTCCTTTTGTGAACTTGATGGTGTATAGTGTGTTGTCATAATTACTATGGCCACTAACACTACACTGTCATGTGTCTGGAAGAAAATTAAAGCCATCTCCACAAAAAAATAAAAGGAATAGAAATAATTTACACGTGGTATACAAATTTGGGCCTTAAATGTTTTTCATAAGTTATTAGTTGTAAATGTTAAATTCAAAAATAGAAACATTCTAGTCTTTTATTGTGTACAATAAAAACCAAAAGCACCCTCATTGTGTAGACGTTACATCATGCACCAGATTAGGGTTATTAAGTATCAATAGTATGTATCAGGCTGAAATAGAAAGTATTTTTTAAATGTAGGGCCTGCACCAAGAAGTATCATTAAATGAATATAATTATAGTGTATTTTTTGCATATAGTGAATACGATCTATGTATTAGAACTTATCACATAATGAAGGAACTGTGGTTCTCTTGATGACCTTTTAAAACCAATAGAAGACTATTCCTGGTTTCAGATTTACAAACAGGAATTCTGATGTAAACCATGGCCAAGCTCCCGCTTTGAACCACACGCAACAGTGTCCCTCAACAGCAGAAAGCTGATGGAGTAAGAACCTCGGAAAGGCCTCAGGAACTGTTGCCTAAGGGTCCCAAGGGCTGGCCTGGGGCATTTCCCTTCCTAAGATGTGTATGATCAACTCTCCCTACAAAGACACTTAGAAGCCTCAAAATTAGTGCTCCCTTCAATCATCCAGAGTCAGGCTTTTGGCAAGATGGGGAGCGCTTGGTATTGAATGTATGTGAGGTCAAAGACTGGGAAACTGGTATAGATTCCAGGCTAAGAAATTAGCATGATACATGAGGGTGCAATAAACAGGCATACCGACTATCACTGAAGGTACGACAAGCACATACAAGAAAGTGTTGATCAGTGGTCTTTCCTAGCTCTGTGGCTGAAGGGCTTTCATAGTGGGAAACTGCAAGCTCACCATTCCATACAGAGAGTGGAGAAGACACACAGCTGCAAGTCACTGAGCAAACATAACTCGGGGTCAGAGAGGATAGGAAGATTATGTAAAGGTGGTGGCACATGCCTGCCATCAAGGACACTTCATAGGATGAGGCAGAAGATTGGAAATTTGAGGCCAACTTGTATCACATATTAAAATGATATCCAAAAGGAAAGGGGGGAAAAGGAAAACAATAAAAAAAAAACAGAACAAAATAACAACAACAACAAAACAGGGTTAGTGAGTTCTGAATACTGTCTCTTAAACAGTTTTTTATCATTTTAATTTCATTGCAAGTGCACAACAAGTGAGAATATACCAACTCCAACAGGCTTCTACCAAACAACTGCCTCTCGCAAGGGGCTCCTTTGCTCTCCTGTATCCTGTAAACATCTGTTGAATGAATTACCACATCAAATGGCAGCAGACTAAATCTGTTCAGCTGCTAATCATCTGGTTATCTTCTTTGCTCTGAAAAGTTATCGATAAAATTTGCAGCAGCGTCTATTTTAATTTGAAGATAGTGTATATTAAATGCAGACATTTCCTGTACTTTGTTCGCACCCTAAGATAAACACGTTAAAGAAATTAGATTTTTATCCTAAGTGTTAGTTTTTTATTTCATTTAATTCCTGCTACTTTCAACACTCATAAGAAATAGATTGATTTAAAGCTATTTAAGATATCTAGTTACCAGCACTTGGGAGGCAGAGGCAGGCGGATCTCTGTGAGTTCGAGACCAGCCTGGTCTACAGAGCGAGTTCCAGGACAGGTTACAAAGCCACAGAGAAACCCTGTCTTGAAAAACCAAAAAAAAAAAAAAAAAAAAAAAAAAAAAAAAAAAAAACAAAGATACTAGTTACTTTATATGAAATGCTGACCTGTGTGTTACACACGAAAGAGCAATACAAATACTCTGCTATCTTGAGCTCAGTTGGTTTCTAGTTCATAACTCCTGAATAATAACGCTGAAGCCATGACTATATGATGGCTAAGTGCTAAGATGCCAACTTTTGATGTTTAAAATTGAAAAAGTTCCCAGGAGCGTCCATGTTTAAGCTTAATGGCAAATCAGCTGTAAAAGACACGCAAGGGAGACATGCTTTATCAGAATGCTTAGCAGAGGGACTCACCCTGTGGGTCATGACCCCTTTGGTGGTCAATCTTTTCAGGGTCACGTAAGACTATTTACATACCAGATATTTACATTATGATTCATAACAGTACCAAACTTACAGTTATGAAGTGGCAACAAAAATAATTTTATGGTTGGAGGTCACCATAACATAAGGAGCTATATTAAAGGGTCGCAGCATACAGAAGGTTGAAAACCACTGGTTTAAGGTGTTCTACTTGGTTATCTCCACTCTCTGTTAGTGAACGCTTGTAGGCCCTATGTTCTAGTTCCTGTCTGTTCCTCCTAGGCCTCTCTCTCTGCCTGGTCAAATCACACTGAGCCCATGAGTCATATCAACTTGAAACTATGGAAGCCTTGTACACATCATCTCGTAACTAACAAGGTCATGAAAAACAAGGTCAAAACAAACTCCAAAGAAAGACAATCTATTATAGTGCGATCATCAGAGAAAGCATTTGCCAAGAGCATTCTACAACCAAGCTGAAGGCGCACAGTGAGGAAGCTGGACGTAAAATATCTGGCTCTGAAGCTATTTTAAAAGACACTCTAAAGTCAATGAGGCTTTTCTCGCTTCCTAATAAAATAAAATATTTGTGAGGGAGTTACTTTTAAATGAACAGCAGGGAAAATATGCCTAAGCTGTGTGGGTAGCATTGCTAAGAGAACAAGAGACTATGGAGAAAACGTTAGGAAGCAGAAAAGGCTGGATTTGCATAAATGCACTGACCCTAGGGATGTGTGTTTGTAAAATTATCATTCAGCGGCAGTATTATGAGCTGCAGAGATGACCCAGGTGGCAAAGGGCTAGCCATGCAAGCATGAGGACTTGAGTTCAGATCCCCCACACTGATGTAAAATCTAGGTGAGGTAGCACGTATCTGCAAGTCCAAGGCTGATGGAAATTGAAGGGGGCTGGGGGAGAAGTAGAGAGAGACAGACCCCTAGAGCCTATTGGTGGGCCAACCTAAGCAAATAAATGAGATCCACTGTCATTGAGAGACTGCTCAAAAGTGGAGCCCAATTGAGATAGACACCTGATGTTGATCCCTGGCCTCAGCACACATGTGCAAACATATGCACCTACATACATATGCATACGCATCCACTCAAATACAAACATACAACACGCATCCACATCCACAAAAATATAGATCAATATTATTCTAATGCAATCTGGTTGCTCTAGAGAGGTGAGCTGATTCGATGACATAAAAATAAGTAAACTATTTCATTTACATGGCTCAAAAGCATGAAATGTTAAAATGTGCATAGACATTTTGGAAACACACATCAGCTTTGCTTGGGATCCCAACTCAGAAGCCATGGTCCATGGCCTATTTCTGGGACCATAACATAAGGAGGGGGTGTTAGTCAACGAAGAACTTTCCACATTCCAGAAGCAGGCTCCTCCCCGCCTTCAATGACTCACCACCAATGTGCCTGTCATCACTAATGTGACATGTTTCCACCGTGATGTATTTTCCCTGTGTGCATGCTCCACACCCCCTATAAAGGCCACCATGGCGACCTGGTCATCTCTGTTTTCCCATCTTTGCTCAGAGGCAGTCATTGGCGCCCCCCACCCCCACCCCGCCCGACATACTTCCCCAATAAATCTCTTGCAGTAGATGGTGTGATTTTTGTGGCCTTTCTTGGCCCCAGTCACCACGACATTTTTTTCCACAGAGAAACCCTTTCAGGAAGCCTCAATTCACGATGCACTTACACACTTCCTGTGGTAGAGCTGCTGTCTGTCAGGAAAGATCCATTTGTCCTCTCCATCTGGGCCAGTCTGAAATACAAAAGCAAGGGACTGAAATCGCGTGCCCCAGCGGGCAGGTCCATTCATTATTTTTAGATCTTCATGAATTCTGACCACACGGAAAAGGGTCTAGATAGCGCACAACTGTTGAAATGAACCCCCCTGGACTGGTGAGGAGCGATTTGATCGCCACTCACTCAGCATTTGTAGGCTCTTATCTCGCACCCCAGTCTGCAGTCTCCTCACTGGGCTTCCAGCCCCTTTAGCCGGTCCCCATTGCAGTGAACTAACCTTCACACACAAATCTAATTATGTTCCTCTTGAGTCTGAAGATTCACCATGATTTCTCTTGACCTAGAATGGGAGCCAACTCCTGAGCAACTCTGTTAGACCACGGTTTCTGCGCTCCATGGTCTCTCAACTCTTTTCCCTTCTGAGGCTTGGAGAACAAGCCACATTCTTGTCACTGTATGTTGTCTACCAGGTCAAGTACCTTTCGCTAAAACTTTGGCTTAGTCTCGTCTCAATTCAGCTCAAATGTTACCATTTTTTAAATGGTTCTTAAACTAGAGAGTTTGGACACAGCTGGCTTCTAGGCTCACCGATAGTTGATATTAAGCAGTTTCCCAAAAGTTCTGCACGCCCTATATTTTGCATTGTTCAGGGATTTAAAAACAAACCCTAACAACCAGGCACTAACGTAAGTTTAATTACATACTGCAATTCATATGTGCACAGTCTCCTGCGAGGAGCTCCAATGGCTCCTTTCGTTTACTGGAACTAGGTTATATTATCCGAATCCTGCCTGCTCAGTGTCTGGAGTCTCAGTAGCTCTGTAATCGCCGCCTACTGAAGTCTACTCTTCATAGACTACGTAGCAGGTGTTTGTAGTGTGTAAGTCGCACAATGAAACGATAAAGGCCCAGGTTCCCCATGTAACAGAAGCGTGATTTGTGCAAACAGACTCCCACATCAAGGTTTGTCAGCAGCATTTTCAACTACTACAAAAGCAGCAATGCTTCGGGGGGCCCAGCTGGGGACGCCTACCCGTCACTCACCGTGTGGCGTACTGCTCTATCCGGGAGTGGGTGTCATCGTGAAAGAGCTGAGGCGAGTGTGAGGGGCTGTAAAGAGAAAAGAAAGGCGAGGGCTTTATCCTCAGTCTCGACAGAGGTTACCAGTTAGAAGGTTAGTGAAGCAAGGAATCTGTCATGCAAAACAAACCACGGGCATTGTCACCCAGGAGGTAAAAATAGTAGCGGAGTCCCATGTTAATACTCCTGCTCGGAATGCCCCTCCTGTGCGCATGCGCAGTGAATACTCACTCATAGTGCTCTGGCCACATACTGATGAGCGTGATAGGACTGCAGAGAGGGAGAGGGAGACAAAAGTCACAGAACAAACATTTAGAGCGAGTTCAGACATAAGCGGAAGGAGTAGGGTTCTCAATCATCTCCCATTCACATGTGGCTACCTGATATTCACCACCAGGGAAATCCAAAGCAGTTTTCACAGCTGTTATGACAACGCGTATTTCAAGACAGTAGTCACATTTTAGAATAATCAGACTAAAAAGATCAGTAGGATGTGGCTAAAATCGCCCCAAATTATACACTGTTTAAAGATAATGCTCTAGAACATTCCAAGGGAGATACAATTACATTTTTGCTTGTCTTGGAGAAGAGACGTGAATGAGAAAGGTGAATTTATTACCTAATTATTAAACGATTTCAATATCAGAATTGAAGTTAAAAAGGATTTTCTGTCTCTTCATTCAGAAATATAAAGGTTCAAGTTATGTGTACACCAAGATCCTCAACTTGAGATACACTGAGAGCCAAGTCTTCCTTCTACTCAAAGAGTCCAATCATCAGCACATTGAACTTCTTTAGGGCTGGACAGACTTCCATCTAGGTTGGTGTTACCTAGTCATCCACTCTAGGGAACCAGATGGGCAAACGTGCTCTGCTTGGCTCTGGGCTTCGGCCTGAGCCTGGCGTATTTAGTGCTACCTGCAACAAGTAGGCGGCCCCAATCTTTCAGATCACCTGGGAGCCCCGAAATACTCATGAAATGCCATGGAAACAGTTCATCCCAATTAAGAGGTAGTTTAAACTCTAACTTTTGAGGAAAGGTAATGACAAATTACCCAACAAATGCAAAAACTTAAGAGCACAAAGAAAATGATTACTCTACTTAATCACATAATGCTTCTTGAAAAAGCTAATGCTGATTCAAGCAAAATCCTTTTAGATTTCCTTCTCTATTATATGTACATCCTTGAGACATAGCTAATGATCTCATTATCTCCTGCTATGAAGCACAAGACGATGTGTGCGGGGCAGAAAATAAAGGGATACAAGGTCATCTTCGGCAGGAAGCTAAATTTCCTTAGACCTACTCTCAAAAATGAGCATTCGACCTGTATGTCTGTCACAATACCTATTCTATAAGTAGAGTTAATTGTGTACGTATGAAGTAGAAGCAGGAACAATGGGGCAACGGTGTTATCCTACACCTTTAGCACATCAGAACTTTTCATTATCCCTGAAATAGGGATGCTAAATGTCAGGAGACAGGTAGAGCTACACCCACTTTCTAAAACAGTAACTGTTAAAGAGAGCATCTTTAAATTCAAGTGTAGGACAACACTTGATATAAGCTTTCAACAGAAGAACAATGCCTACTGGTGTGTGTGTATGTGTGTGTGTGTTCGTAAGAGACAAAGCTTTGTGGAATGGCTTAATCAATTCTTTAGAAGGTAACTGTTGGCACAAAAGTGATTTGTGAACTGAGACTGGAGGGAGCAGAAAACTGGGCTGAAGTGTTTCCTAAAAGACAAACATTGTTAATGGAAAACATCAAATAAAGGAAACAGAGATACACAATTGAGCTGAGTTTCTTTTCCTTCAGGGGATTTTGTTTGTACGGAGAAACTGTGACAAGTGCTCACACTTAGTTCTCTGGGAAGAAAGAACAGCCAAGTACTTCATACTTAGGACCTGCAGTTAGGGAGGTTGAGCTCGCTTGACAAGACTGCCTGTCTAGCATGCGTGAGGTTCTGAATGCCATCCCCAGTCCCCAAATATAGGGAACTAAATAATAAATACAATAAAGGCAACTTCAATCTGTGAGTGGCCAGGGACTTAATAATGGAACTTCTTGTTTTTCAGTGACCACAGAATATGTGAAGAATCGGACTCTAAAATGTAAATGTAAGTCTCTGAAACCCAACATAAACTTTAAAGAACGTGGTGACCCTTTAAATGACCTAAATTCCCAGCAGTCTCTTCACACTTCTTGTCTTTTGTCTCTTTAGTCCATTTGTCCCAAGGCTGGTGAGTGGTCCTACCTGTAAGGTCATGCCTGCTGCTTTAAAAGCAGACCTGGCAAACCCTCTGCCCTGTCCCTTGAGACAATGAACTGACAAGCCCCCCTTGGCTCTGCTTGGTCCTTATCTCCTCAAATGTAATATGAAGGTATAGACAAACACACTTCCTTATCTCTATCATGTGGAGCTATGGCCAAGCTCCCCGACTCCTCTGTCTCTCTGGATTGAGTACTTCCTGCGTCCACCATGCTGTCTATGATGACTCTCTTTGCCTCTTCCACTTTTTCACCTTCAGGGAACCTTTTTCTTCAAGATTTATTTTTATTTGTCTGCATATATGCCACTATATCTACACCATGGCATATGTGTGGGGATGCGTCTGCAGGTCAGAAGAAGACACTGGATTTCTTGGAGCCAGAGATACGGGTGGCTGAGACCCGACGGACATAGTTCTCGGGACTTGAACTCAGGTCCTCTAGTAGAGCAGCTAGTGCTATTAACCAATGAGAAATCTCCCTAGCTCCCAAGTCAATTGTCATGTTCTCCTACCTCACATCCCCACCTGTTGCCTCTAATAAGATGTATTGCCCCTTCTAACGCTCCACCACCTCAAGACACCATCATGGCTTCCGTGGTAGCAAAACCCCCTCACTCCTAATAAGGCTCATTTTCTGAAGGGTAATTTTAGGCTATTACCCTTTCTGAACCATTGGCCACTTTTTCTTCTTTAACATTACCTGTAAACTCTTGAAGTCCCCCACAACTCTCAGAATAAACTCTGTAGACATTGGATAAAAAGACCCTTTATTATCTGGCTTTTGTTTCTCTCTCTCTCTCTCTCTCTCTCTCTCTCTCTCTCTCTCTCTCTCTTGTTTTGTTTTTGATGCTAGTTTTCTGATAGAGCTTCAATCCAGGCTGATGAAAATGATTCATTTGGCCAGTAGGTCTTTTCCTCCATCTCCGTGCACCCCAAATTCTCAGCACATGACTCAGGCCGGGCTAAGCATAGCTCTCCATCCCTCCCGGTTCTGAAAATCCATCTCTACAACTCCATCTGCAATGAGTGCCTCTTTCCACAGTTAAATTCACTATAGATCACTTCGCGCAATGCCAGAAGCAGAGGTCTCTAGTTCTTTATTATCTTTAGGGAAACAAACCAAATTCTCAAGCCAATAGTTATCCCCTAGAACTCTCAAACTAGGTCTACAACTATATTAGCTTATTTTTCACTTTATTATGAATACTTTGCTCTTTAATTTTACTCATTTATTCCCATTTAGAAAATTCTTGCATACAGACTTGTAAATTGAACTGAATAAGCCTTAGCATGGACATGCTAGTCCTTGTCGGTTATCAGTGTTTCCTCCTGTAAAGGCCCCTCATGTATGCCGGCATAGCTAACTACTGGCCAGATGATAAAACACAACATTTGCAGAGACAAAAGAGAAATAAGCAAAGGAAAATTCCATAAATAGCTTCACTGCCTTCACCACTTCAGTGGCTTTCTCCAATGTTCTCCTCCCACAAGGATGAGAATATATGAAATCAAACATTTTTTTAAACTACACACTCACATAAATTGTTCTACTGGAAGATTAAGTGACCTTGCAGCAGGAAAGGGCTCAGCAGAAAAATGAACTACAGCAAATCCACAGAGCTCTATGTAGGACTGAAGAAGAAAACCTGCCCACACTGTCTAGTAGCTCATAAATCTGTTCAAAAGGGATCTTGGGGCATCCAATGTAATCAGATGCCCCTTCCTTTCTTCTGCGCGCATGCCTCTTGGAAAATGGTGGAAATTTTATGTTAAGCACAGTGATGCATTTTCAGCATAGTATGTCAAAATCAGAAAATAAATTTTTTGCATGCTTTTCTGATAATTTTTACTTAAAAAAATACTTTGGAGGCCATGAAGATGGCTTGGTCAGTAAAATACGTTCCCTACAAGCATGAAGAAACTGAATTCAATCCACAGGACCACACAGAATCTGGGCACCTATAATCCAAGGGTTTAGGAGGTGGAGATCGGATGATCCCTGGGACTTGCTGGACAGCCTGCCTAGCTCAGTCATCAAGCTCCAGATTTAGTGAGAGATCCTGTCTCAAAGAATATGGTGGCAGTGATTGAGGAAGACAACCCATGTCGATCTCTGGCCTCCACACACACACAACATACGCACTTGTGCAAGCACACACACATACACTCAAATCGAACCTCATGATTATTTTGACATTAAAGAGCAAAGTCTTAAAAAATGTTTAAAAATATTTTTTTTTGATGAAATATCCATCTCTCATGTGAACAGTGGATACAAATGATAACGACTCCTGCAAAGAGCGCAAGGCAACATTGTTCAGTACAAATCTATCATATTTCCTCCTAAACCCCAGCACCAGGTGACAGTATATCTACACCATTATGTACCCCAAGTAGCTATTGCAAAGGTAAACTATCTGTTATCTGAACAGAAATAAAATTTTTCAGGTGTTCAGCAAGTCAAACTGTATTGCACACTAAAAGAAGAATTTTTAGTACACAATCTTTGAAGACCAAAACATATCCATAAAAGACCAGAGGATAAATACTTTTTGTAAATATATTTAAAGAGCTTTTTTTTAAAAAAAAAAAAAACAAAATAAATGTAATAAAACTTGTTTTCATGTGTGGTGTGGAAAAAATTAGAAAAGATTACATTTTTGTAGGAGGTATATGTACTCGTTTAGGTGTGTGCGTGTGTACATACACATATATGTGCTGGCCAGAGGTAAACACTGGGCATCTTCCTTAATCACTCTTCTCCATATATTTTAGGTATACAGGTGCTTTGTTATCACACCCAAGCACACGACAAAGGCTGCAGTTGAAATATTTGTGTAGATACTTTAGAAAGAGATTCAAAGATTTAAAATCTCATCGACTTTGATCTCAATAGATAACTGCCTGGTGATTTAAAATGCCCATCATGTCTTTGGGCTCATTTTAAAGCCTTTTCCCTTCCTATTTCAGGCTCGACACTCTTTTGTTTTCTTTCTCAGCTTTATTACCCCATTGTAATTTTGCTCTCTTATAACTTTCGTGAATACGCTTGTCAACTCAAAATGCAGATCTTAAGCAATTTTGTCTATTTCATATAATGTCTCAAGTTGTTGCATTTTGCTGCTTTCATCTCTTAGAAGACCAAGAAGAAACATAAAATGAGATTTCAGAATAGATTTGTACTTGCAGCACAAGATAAAGTATCGCTGGTAATTTATATTAAAAAGATGTAAAATGGCTGGGACTCTGACTCAAAAGGGGAGCATTTATCTAGCATGCGTGAGGCTCAGGGTTCAATCCTCATGCCATAAAACAAAACAATACTAAAAGGTATTATAACAAAAATATTGAAACCTCTAAAAGGGAAAAAAGAAAGGGAAATAAATGAAAGAGCAAATGATACCACAATTTGACTAGATATTTCTTTAGAAAAAAAAAGTTGAAAGTTCAGAAAAACTGGCTATGACAGTATTAAAGAAAAAAATAAGGCAAATGAATTGCTGTTTCAGAATTAAACATTTCACCAGGACACAAATCTCTTTGGTGCCATGTAATTTTTTTTTTTTTTTTTTTTTTTGAGACAGGGTTTCTCTGTAGCTTTGGCGCCTGTCCCGGAACTAGCTCTTGTAGACCAGGCTGGCCTCAAACTCCCCAAGATCCGCCTGCCTCTGCCTCCCGAGTACTGGGATTAAAGGCGTGCGCCACCACCGCCCAGCGCCATGTAATTTGTTTTGTGTTGTTAGCATTAAAAATAAAGAGCTGTAAATGTTCACGGACGAGGATGGAACTCACGTCTCTAAGTTGTCCCCTTCCAACACGGTCTGGACAGGCAGGTAGCCAAGCCGAGGGTGTTTGGCAAAGTACTTCTTGGACCTGAACTTGTTCTTCAGCACCTTTGTGAAGTCTCGCACATCTTCCCCAGAAGTTGTCTACGAGGTTGACAAATTCACAGTACACATTACAAATCAAAGGCTATAACAACACTACAACAAAATCTGAGCAGGTGTAAGTTGAGTATTATTAAATGCCAACAATTTTGGTCACTTTATATATTTTTGGAATGTACAGTATCATGAAAACAAATGGCAATTGTGACTCTCATAAAAATATATTCAGTGATGATTCCATAATTTTACAAAATTATGTTAAAAGTAAACCATTAGGTAACTGATTGATCCAATGTTTTAAAACTTGACTCCAAAATTAAAGTTTGGACAGTGTACTGGTAGGTTTCTATCAGTTAGCCAATTTCCTTCTATAAGGTGTAGTGACAGTACAGATTAAATACTTCTAATTAGGCTTAAGACGCCAAGGTTAACATTTAGCCCATGCTGGCTCCTGACAAGTCACCACACATTCTAGTTGGGAGAGAAGTTCAAGCTGCAATAAAGAAAGGGCAGGGGACATAGAAGTACGTGTCTGTAATCTTAACACATACAAGAAAGAGACAAGAGGATCTGAAGTTCAAGGCTACCCTAGGCTAAAATGGGAGGTCCTAGATAAAGATCAAAGGAGCTGGGCATGAAAACAAACCAATTAAATGAACAAACCTTTCTAAGCAGGCATGATGGTGCATGCTCATAATTCTAGGATTTAGGAGATGGAAGCAGGAGGATTAGGAGTTCTAAGATAGCCTGGGTTACATGAGGCTAGTCTGGGCTACATAAGACCCTTTGAGGGGGGTAAGTAATGAGAGAGAGAGAGAGAGAGAGAGAGAGAGAGAGAGAGAGAGAGAGAGAGAGAGAGAGAGAGAGAGAGAGAGAGTCAGTCATGAAAAGAAAGCACAGTGCCTTCTCTGGCCTTTACTAGAAAAAGAGTCTGTAAGTTTCTTTCCTCTCTCAACCACATAAATATACTATTATTTTACCTGGATTAAAATGTAATGGTGATATACAGAGTTTCTATGTCATAAAGGACTTTGAAATGATTGGGGTTTTACTTTGTTGTTTGTTTTGTTGAGACAAGGTCTTGTTTTGTAGCCCCGAATATGCTACAACATGCTCTGTAGTCCAGGCTGGCTCCTGCCTCTTGAGTGCTGGGACTAACGCCAAACGCCACCATGTCTGGCAAGTTTAGTTTTTATAACCATGTACCAGTGAGATGCTTAAACCCCTCAAACGCCACTCTCTTATTCCATAAACTATCCTCTCATCTAGCTTTCTACGATCAGCAATTCTAGTGTTCATATTCAACGCAGACACCAGCTTTAGTTCTGAAGATGCACTTATATATTCATATTATTAACAGAGAGCTGAATTAATACTTGGGTCTTATACCAGCTAGTCTCTTCCAAACCTATCACTGAATAGACTTCATCCCCCCCTCCTTACACAGAGACAGAGAAGTTTTCTAGAGAACACAAACAGAGCGATGGATATGTGTATGTACTGTGCTGTCTGCTCCCGCGCTATGCCTTTTCTTTAATGGCAAGTGAGCCAGCATCATACAGTCTGGCTGACGAACGGAAACTGTATTTGATGGTACTTAGTTGAACTTAGTGCCTCATGCAGGTGAGAGAAGTCCTCTACCCCTGAGTTATATATACCTCAGTCCTCTTTTAAATTTCATTTTGAGACAAATTCTTACTAAACTGTCCAGACTGCCATTAAACTCACTCTATGGTCCAGAGAGGCCTTGAACTTGAAATCCTCTCTTATAGTCCAGGGTAGCTGGGGTTGTAGGTTTACATTATCAAGCTAGGCATGGAACTTATAAAAATGCTATACTTTTAATACAAACAAGTTCTACTTTAACTCATACACGTGCGCACACACACACATCTGTATACATTTATAGTTTTCTATTTTGTAAGTGATCTTTGTACATAAATACTTTGCTTCTATTAAACAATTAGAGAGTTTTTTTATTCTACTCTGGGCTTGCAAAGCAGATAGAAGTATGCATGAGCTACAGAGATTTATAGTAAAAATAATCCATTCATTTCTCTTTTTATTAAAACAAATATCCCCAAGGGCAAGCCTCTTGTCATCGTCAGTTTTACAAGGTCAAGTCTGTTTTTAGTAACTGAAAATAAACTTTACAATGTGAAGTGTGATTGAGACAGTCTGTCCTACACATAGCAAAAGTGCAGTGGGACAAAGCCTTTCAGGAGAAGATAAATAAATAAAAAAATTCAAGGCCGGTGCTGAAGAGATAGTTTAGTCAGAAGCCACATAACAATACAGACTGCTTGTAATATCCGCAAGAACTCGAGAGGTAAAAAACCGGCAAACCCCTGGGGCTTGTGAACTTCAAGCAAATAAGAGACTCTAGGGGAGAATAAGGAGGATAACTCCTGAGACATGAACCCCATAGTTGACCTCTGCCCTCCACAAGCACACATGTATACATGTGCTAGGCACTGGCACAAATAACACACACTAGCATGTTCTCACATGTACCTACAAACACATGCCTACAGCAATTCAAGGCAACTCTGTGGGAAAAGGGGTTGGCATGAAATACAGTGGTGTGTGGGAGCTGAATCTGGACCACGCAGAAAGGAGAAACAAGCGGAATAAAGATGAGGGAGAGAGGAGACTGCCAAGGAGGAGTGCCCAGAATGGAGAACAAAAGACTTCTCCATCAACTGCAAAGGGCACGCACACCTTTGGCAAGGCAGGGCTCCGAGACAGCTGAGCTCATAGGTGTGTGCCTCCTGGTGAAAATGGAAAAGGGTAGATGTTTGCTACAACAGAAATTCAGAAGGAAGACCGGTGGAAGAAGCATTTGGGATTCCATTGCTCCTGTGTCTGCCCTTACTGTGCGCAGTTAACATACACAGAAATGCTGAAACAAGAATGCACTCCAGTTTCGATATAGCCTGTCTCTGAGCTCGCCTATGGGAGGGCATTCATTTCTGTGTCCAGAGGTTTTGTAGCTAGCCTTGAGTTGGAAGGGTCAGAGAAAGGCCAGGTGAACAAGACTCCAAGATACCCTAACCCCCACCTTCTGACAGTGTCCAGTGTATAACTCACTGGTTACGAGTACACTCCTATGTGAACAAACACACCACTCTCTACATACATCATGGCTCCATCCCTCTTCACAGACACCCTATGCCCACTAACCATGCCCAAGCCCTGTCAAGTAATAACCTATCTTCTGCCTCTATGAGCTTGCTTCTTCTGGGTGTTTCACAAGACAGAGCATGTCTGCCGTGGTTTTTATGTTGGTCCAGCTATCTGTTCCGGGTTCCTCGTGTTTGAGGGAAAAGTGACAGACCATTGGAACAAGTCCAATCCCACATTACAAACCCTGCAATCAAATATACCAACTATATCTAGAACCTAGGAAACAAACATAAGTTTAATCAAGCAGTTAAAAAAGACAACACTTCTCTATTCTGCGCCCATCACAAAAAAACTCAACAAACACTTGCTCACTTTCCAAAAAGTTGAGGCACGAAGCTGAATTGTTTCTAACAGTGCATGCCTTTTATAAAGCACATATTCACCAGAAACATTGGGTTTTCATTTCTTTAGCAATTTTTATACTGAGGGAAAATATGTGCTACTCAAAGTTGTAATCCAAGGCTGTTCGTTCACTGGCTCACAAAAAAACTAAAGGAGATGTGAAAAGTGACTCTTCCCATAGTGACTGGGACTACACTCAGGATACCAGAATATAATTCTGCAGTTGGAATAGAGCCACGGAAAGGAATTAAGCCTGATATTTTGCGCTGTAGATGGTAAACGTATTTACATATGCTTGGTCTAATTAGCCACCTAAGAGCAGCATCTGTAGCTCTCAATTTTATAGTGCTAATGCAGTGCTTTGTCAGAAAGAAGCCCACCACCACCTAGCATAGCGGATGTCATCAAATGCAACTCTCCCATCACGCTAGATCCAGAGCCTTGTTCTTTAAAAGCAGACAACTGTTGCTATTATGGTGGGAAGATGGAACGGAAAGGAACTTACTGGAAATTACTGTACAGTGAGTCAACCTGTTAAATGCCACATGTATTTCTTGGAACATTGGGTTTTCTTTTATTGAAAATAGATTCTTTTCTCACATAATATATCCTGATTGCAGTTTTGCCTCCCTCTACTTCTCCCAGCACCTCCCCACCTCTTCTCCTAGACATAGCCACCCCCTTCCTGCCTCTCAGTAGGAAAGAGCATGCTTCTAAAACATAACAAAATAAGATATAATTAGAGAAAACAAAAACTACCACATTTAAGTCAGAGAGAACAACAGCCTTGGTGGTAGACTTCTGCCCAAAAGCACCCTATTGTGCTTGCTACAGACCATCTGATGGCTTGGCAGGACCTACAGTTGTGAAATACCTTTGCTCCCTTCTCGTTCCCCCATGGGGTGACAATCTTGTAGGTTCTATGGCTAGTGGTGGCCTGTCACCATCCAGCTTTATTTGAGGTCTTTCTTGCTACAGGATTTTATTGCAAATGTTGCCTGTGAGGATTTCTGTTTTACTGACTAATTAATTGCCCTGTTTCTTTTTACCTAACAAATGTGAGGAAATGACAAACACAAGGAGACTGAGCTAGCCTGAAGCCACGGACCTCCATCGCCCTCCAAGCCCCTCTAGACTCACAAGCTGTAAGAACTCACATATACAAGAGAGAGACACCCTCCTAATTGATTTTTTTCTTCTCCTAAAGCCACACCATTATCCTGAAGTAAAGGAGCAGGGAGAAGATAAACTTACCTGAGCAATACTAATAGCTAGCTTTCTACTTGTTCTCCATCATCATAAATGAATAAAATATTGAAAAGCTTTGCCCAATTATAAAATCTACTGTAGAGCCAGTCTCCTCATGTAAGCTTCTACCAAAACCCTAAGGTGTTGAAACCAGACAACTTCATTTTTCAATCCTCTTTTACCAATGGCAATAATGACAAAGTCAGGAGTGTATGTATAT